GCCATCGTTCCCATCAGTGTTCACAGATAGATCGCATTGATATTAACTCTCCTTGCAGTCTAGCATTAATGCTCCTTCATCATCATGTACATGTAATCACTTATTGGTTTTAGCACGCCTATCTCTTCCATCTAACAGCAGTTGTCTTGACATGATGGTCACGCCTGCATATCACATGGACCCAAAAAGCTATGATGGTAGAAACACTTATATTCCTTATGCACATACCATACCAAAAAGATCTTTTGGATAATGATCAAACAGACTGTGGTTGCCATCATACTGTGAATAGCTAACACCTTGGCTGAGGCTTTGAGCATAAAATTGTGGTTCTAATGGAGCTGTAGTGTGGCATCAGTAAGGTGTTTTTTTGGTAAGGTGTTTACCAGCAGTCTATACTGACGTTACCTTCCGTTATCGAAAGGAATTCAACCCTCAAAATAGAAGTTTCTTCCGTTTCGTAGAGTTCACTTGCGCAGATGGTATAGGATTGCATAACGTGAATGAAACATTGCCAAAGTTATGACTTAAAGTGGCGATATGATAGCGTGTTTCTAGTCTGGGATAGATGTCACTTGGGCTCGGTGTCCACGCATCCTGATTGTTGAGATCACTCTTATTAATCGTCATTCTTTTTCAGGTACTCGAAGCAGAGATAACCTTTCTTGTAGTGTGGTCAGAGATGAAGTGTTAACCGATTTTACGCATATATGAATTCTCAGACCCCCTCTAATCACCATCAAGGTTCCACATCGTTGCTTTCTAGTCTTTTTTCACGTTGCTATGTTATTACTTCCACTCTTTCTTTCATTTCTTCCTCTCGTTCGACCTCGAAGAAGATTTCAGTTGACTTAAATAACCGCTTATTTTTCGAAAGCTCACTACAAACTACATATCGGATAAGTTGTTCCCGTCAAGTGGTATCCATCCAGGAGATCACTATCTCTCTGTCTTTACTCGATTTTATCATAGACGTGCATGTGGAGGTTACCATCTCTCTATTTTGACTTTCTAAAGATAGATCTTGTTGAAGGAGACGTTTCAGTTAACCTAGATATGCAGAAGACAACTGTTTTAAGTGATGACGTTCACAAGGTACAGAATCTTCTGGTGATGTTGAGTGAAAATTTGAAAATGTCTCGAATGAGTTTCGCAGCTGTCAGATGTATTTGGTCCCCTCGACAACACTAAACATCGATACCTCGTTCGACAATATGGAGTGAGGCAATCCAGGACGATAACAACATTGCTTGCTGAAGAATTCGTATCAGCACTTTTAAGTCAGTGGTCGACGAGATATTGGCATGGATACAGAAGGATGTATTAGCTTTGTCTAGCTCATGACGTCAGCAAGTTATTTTATTACCTAGTAGATGTTGAGTATACTACGCAACAGATAGACAAAGGGGAAAATTCATTCTATACTACCACCTCTTTAGAAATAGAGGACACGAGAAGACTCCATATGGTCGAAGCACTATCCGTGTGTTGTAGAACCACCATATTACCAAGGTAGAGGTGGGAAGTAGGGTTTTAGGTTAAAGATAGTGAGGTAGTCGAAGAGGTTGTAAATCTTTATTAACTCATGTTTCTGGGACATTTTCTTTGCAGGCATAATCATTGTCTACTCGTATGCACAATGTCAGGGAAGACGGGGTACGATTGGAAGGGAGTGAAACGTGATCTGTCTACAGCTTGTGGTCAGTCTATGGAGTCTCTGACTGTTGGTGTGATCTGTGTAGGAAAATGCAGACTTCTTGATGGGGTTGGTGTTTCAACGTAAATCAGTGGTGTCCGGCTGTAGGTGATATATGTGAGGATGCATCACATTGACGTAGTTGGATTCACGCTTCATCGACCTATTAAGTCCCATATCAAATTTCAATCTCTTTCCTGTCTTTTTATGACTTTCTAGAACACTGTTGCAAATTTTAGGCATTTGTCTTTCAATTTGTTCCGTTTCATTGTATTGATATGAGGTGTGTTCCGTGGTTAGTACTGAGCCGCTATATCAAAATGGACTTTCCGACTGTTCTGTGTTTTGAGTCAGAATTCTAGTGTGATTTCACCACGGACATCCAATAGGCCTATTATCGTGTTTGGATGTTCCCAGAGAAGTGAGACGACGAAGTTTCGTTGCTACGAGCGGATTGGTGTACATGGAGAGTACATCTAAGGTATTTAAAAAACCCTGATTCCAAACCAATGGTGGACATACATCCTAGCATTCCGTACTAAGTAATGGTATGTGAGGCTATTTCGTTTACCTTTGACCATTGGGATGCAGCGCTTCACGTTACGCCTCTGCCTCGTAGATTAGTGGTCAAGTCAGACGGTCAGCGTATCGTCTGTAATAATACCCACCTGCTTTGAACCAAGCGTACATGTAGTAGAAGTAGTAGTATCACATTCCAGTCCACTTACAATTTTTGAATTGACATTAGGAGTGAGAACTGCTAAACGCTCATCAGATTTTCCATCACGAAACAAAACTCACTGTGTAACGAACTTCTTGATGTGTCATTTCATTCTGCATTGCCCTAAGTTGCTGAACAGTTATTTTGAGAAAGCTGTGCTTCAGTTAGATATCTGACAAAACCATCCGGAAACTGCACACACCTTCAACGTTTGCAGCTTGATATAGATCAGATATGAGACATATTTGATGAAAACTTTGAAAAGCCTCTCACTTGATGTGTGGTGTTTCTCGGAGTCCAGCATGCAATATCCAGGTGAAGTGCTTTGATCAACCTTATTTCTCAGCCCAAAAGGTGTATTACCTTGTGGCATGCAGTGCCAGTGTTGCTGGTGGCGTCTTGATGAGTGACGGGGCCCGAAGCTCGACTAGTCTGTATATCCATCACCATTCGTTTGTGACTTTAGAGATGTCATCTAAATTGATGACAACTGGCGGTTTCTGCCAGGAATGCCCACGGTCGCCGTTCCTATTTAACTTCATTATAAACGTAGAAATGGAAATAAGCTTAGATACGTCTGACTACAGAAGGGATGACGTATTACTTGGAGGCTATCTGGTTGACCTGGATTCTGCAGAGGACACTGTCCTTCTAGGTGCAGAGGCTGACCAAATGCAGAATTTTTCGAAAGCATTGAGCAGGAGTCTGAATGTATTCGGCATGCTTTTTGCACCTGTTAACCCGAACTAGTCAATGCAACTCCTGATGAGTATACTCCTCTACCGTTTGTTCTGTCCTCTCATACGGCTTTAAGACAGGGCCGCTGGAAATAGAAGACTTGAGATAGTTACAGGTTTTCGAATGCGGGTGACATCGTAGTATTGCTGGCATATGTTGGAATGACCGTATGAGCACTGTTGAGGTTAAGCGAATGTGCACTAGGCAGGAGAGGCAATGCGAAGCTGATGAAATTGCCAACTTTCATCGACTGATGTGGTTTGGGCATGCAGAGCCACCACCTGCTGCGACGTGCTATGGTAGGGAGGTTGGAAGAGGGTTCAAGGTATCCAGACCAAGATGTAGCTCTAGTTCATGAAGTCTGTGACTGTTAGTCTGAGCTGTGTTAGGAGATGTAGACTACCCAGATATTACAGGAATCACTGGTTGAAGACTCTTAGTGACATGGCCGAAAATCGGTTACAATGGTGTGGGTGTATTGCAGAGCTTAAATATGTGTACTGGCCTTTACTTTCAAGTTATTTGTACTCTCACACAACTTTTTCTTTTCTGGTGCCAGTTCTTCTCTATCCACTTATTCTTTGCATGCCACCGTGATGTGTGGTAACGTGAACCTATACACTTGTGTGCGAGGTTGTATGTTGATTTGTCTGTCTTTGTTGCTAGGCTAGGAAGCCCGAGTAGAGTGATCAGTTACTAGCTACGGTAGTGGTGTCTGTTCGTCACCTCTGCCTATGTACTGACTGGTTGCAGCTCAAATACTGTTAAGGATGAGTTCTGCATTAACTACGGGGACCACTCTAGCAAGTGGACCCCAGAGGTATTGTAGTTATGGTTGGGACTTGAATGCACTAGTCAAATGTCTAGGTCCATAAGTGGACTAGTCTGGTTGAGGAATGGTGATCAATCAGTTGCATGTCAGGTGATAGAAAACCTTTACTCCAGGTTAGCGCAGAAGCCAGCTAGTTTCTAGCCAGCATCAACTTTCGTCATTATTGTGCTACCTGGAGTCCTCCTTTCTACCAGTCAAGCCTAGAGTGAAACAGGTGATATTGTAATTAATTACCGATCACCTGGATGTAGTCGTGACTACCGCCCTTTCTGGAGCGCCTATTTGTACTCTTATCGCTCTGAAATGTGTGCTCAGTCCATCTTGGGCTTTATGATCATTACGATAGTCGACCGAAATGGGTCGGTTGGTTGCACGTAATATCACAAGTAACTGCCAAACCGAGCTAGATTCAAGGCTAGCTTTCGAACTTCCAGAAAGTGTAGACTAACATTGTCTGAACCCACATGTTGCCCCAAAACGGCGAGTATTGATGCTTGTGGCTTTGAAGAAGTTGGCTTCAATAAGGAATGGATTTCTCCAAGCTCCATACAACTTCTTGTCGCTTATCTGTATAGACTGACAGGAGATGAGTACCACGGTTTTCTTCAATTCTTTTGCACGAGTTATTAAATTTCATTCTCCTGTCCGATAGCTGTCGCTTGTCAATGTTTTGCATAAGCCTTGGTCATGAAACCCAAGGTGAATGTTAGGCATACCACTACTTTCTTTGTCGACTTTCGAACGTGTATTTCGTCCGTTCACTCCTTAATCTTGTTACTGACTTTAAACTTTTTCTTGAATCATTACGTTGCTTTTATACAGAATATATTTTTCACTGTAAAATGTCAACTTGAAGATACCTTATTTCTGAGAACTAATCAGATGCTGGGAACTATTATCCTTGGTTTCATTGCTTCTTTTTCCTTTCGCAAACCGTTTTTCGATTATTTGTGTGTTATGACAAAATGTAGTTAACATATTTGTCTACTCTCTTATTTTTTTTCATTGTACAGCCTATTGACCCACATTTACTCCTATATAAGCTCAGGTAACAGTAGCGGAGTATCAAATGAGGTAATTACATTGTTTTCCTTTTTTTTTCCATTCATTTAGAAATATTTATTATGCTTTAATTTAGGTTTTAATAAACTCTTTGTGTGTCGTTCAAGGGATGGCAATGTGACAAAATGTTCTTTGATAATGGCAACAGTAGGTTTTGATATATATATATATATATATATATATATATATATATATAAAAACTTACTTTTGCCGGTACTAACAGTATTCTCTAGTGTCAAGGGGGCATTTTTGCTGTCGTGATTAATAAGTTTTGCTGCGCTTTTTCCAAATAGCTATCAAAAAACTGATGAGGGTTTCTGTTGTATTTAATTCTCCTCTCTGTCCACTTGCCCCTTGATTTTTCGCATTTGACAGGTTGCTTGAGAAGTGACTAGTCTAGTATCTCATGAACTTTGAAGCAAGTGGCCTTGCGTTCAAGTCGGGTAGTATGATAAGTTCTCACTTAGTACATGTTGCTCATATGGTAGTGCATAAGCAAGTATAAGGCCGAGTTGTATCACATAAAATATGATCACTAAAGTTTATTCATAGAAATTTTGAGGTAGTCATCAGAAACTTAGGAGTATGATCAAAAAGGACGTTTCTTCAGTAATAATGATGCAACAAAAAATTTTAAATAGACTGTCACTCACCGTTTATCTTTCACTTCAGTTATATTCAATTTAATCTGAGTAATGCAATGTAACCATTCCTCAAATTCTTCTACACTTGACTTTTATGGGTGTTATATACATTACTGTTACGCTCGCTACTGAAGATCAGATGGCCAGAAAGAATAAGCAACAAGGAGCTCTGGGAACGAACCAACCAAGAACCTATCACCCAACAAATATGCAGGAGGAAGTGGAGATGGATTGGCCATGCACTGAGAAGGCCGACTGAGGACATCACGCGTCAGGCCCTCGAGTGGAATCCCATGGGAAGCGACGAGTTGGACGTCCAAGGGTGACATGGAGGAGGTCGTGCGAGGAGGAAATGAGAGCTTCTGGGCTGTCGTGGAACCAGGTCCAAAAGATCTCAGAGAACAGAGTTAACTGGAGACGTGCTACTGAAGCCCTATGTTCCACTAGGAACCCAAGGGACTAATAATAATAATAATAATAATAATAATAATAATAATAATAATAATAATAATAATAATAATAGTAATAATATACATTACTGAGGCTATGCGTTCTCAGCTTCACCAATTACTATTACCGTAACATGGATGCTGAGCCCCTAGTCTATATTGTCTGAAACTCAGCGTTGCACTTTAATAGCGTTGGGGGTCCGAGGAAAAGTATTACTGCTGCCTGTTTTTTGAGATACTGCATCAAAAAAGTATTCCATAAGCTGTCAACAATGAGTCTTTTCAATTATGAGGAAAAGGGAGTGAGGTGAACTAGCATCAAAACCATACATTTCAACTTTTCCCAGACAGTGGTGATTTGTTATAAATCCTTAGATAGGAACTAAATGTACAAACTGTTTCGTCATTTAACTTTTATCACTGCGTAGTAATATTACTTCAGAAACATGAAAAACTATCTGAAACAGCAATTCCATAGCACCATCTGTAAGTGTAGTCACTAATTGTCCATTAGGCTCTACAGTGTAGAGATTGGATAATATCGGCTGTCCGTGCTCCAGCAACTCTAATAACCCTCGTAGTCATTATGGGTTGTCTTACTTTTACTCTTCTTACTCTTCACATCATAAACATGTCTTTCCTCTGTGACAGTTGATGAAGATGCCAGTTTACGCAATAACGTACATAGTTTCTCTATGCCGCTTTCCAAACTAGATTTTAGAGTTGACACCATCCGAACTGTTTGTTGAATATGATAATTTATATTGTTTCACTCAGGTATGGTGGAAACTACATAATCCATTGATGGTTTCTTAATATTCAACTGACTCTTTACATGGGTTCGCAAGCACGAGTGTGACACACTGATTCCTAGATGGTAACATTCTGTGTTGTAATGTTTTGAAGAGCAAAGAAAAAATATCCTGTGCATCAACTTCTTTAACACTATGCCAACCCCGACTCACTCTCGTTTCGTACGGCATAAATTTCACATTTTACCAAGAGTAATGGAGCATACTGTAGTAAGTGAAATGTACTGCGTAATTATAGAAGCCTAACCATGTCCTTAGTGTGAGGCGAAATGCAGAATCGTAGCTAAAGGAAGCTCCATTGTTCATCGGTATTATTTGTGTGTGTATAATTCTACGAGTAAACATGGGTTTGTAAATAGAAGGTGGGCAGTGCGGAAAGATAAGGTATCTAATCACTGTTGTTCTGGAGATATAACCGTAATTTATTGAGGTCAATTCGAGAAGTATTGTAGTCATTTTCGGAATTCTGGCTCAGAAATTCAAACTGGCCGATATGGTTTTGAACCTTATAGATTTGAAGCTCCACCAGTCAAATACATTCATTAATAAGAATTCATGTTGTATCTCAGTATTGTACTGAAAAACACTCGATTTGAAATGAAAAATCTTGTTTCAGTCTTAGTGAAAGCATCAACCTTCAGGTTCAGTTACCCTACTGATAGCTGCTTTATTGGATTGCTAGCTGGGGTCGCGTATCACACTGACCCAACGCACTATGCTGGCTGGAACGCTTACCCCTATCATGCCAGAAAGGTTTTCTGGAGAGTGGCAAAAAAATTATTGTTTACCATCATAGTGCAAATGACTTACGCTGAAGAGGGTGCTTTGAGACTGAAGTCGTACTGCTGGTGTGTGGCAGTAGTAAGGCGTTTTCTGCAGATGACCAATAGTCCATACTGACGTTACCTTCCTCTATCGAACGAAAGGGGAAGTTATATCGAAAAAATAGCAGACTCCTCCCCACACTGTAGTCATTGGGTTCTAGCCATGTACGTATTTTGTGTCCGACAACAGAAGAATCAAATCTCATCCAACTTTTTGTACTTCTTCAAGAGCATATGAAATCTAAATAACCGTAACCCGTCATCCTTACCTTTGTTACCCTCCCGAAAACAACAATGAACACTTTATAGTTTCCTCAACTTTCCAACCTGGGACTATTGTTCACGATCCAAACCATTATAGCAACATTCCTATTCTCTCAAAATAGCTCTACTAGTTCACATTGAAACTTTCAACGTATAAAAGCTATGCTAAATCTGCCCACAGGTATCCTTGATCAAAACCTTGAGGTCTTTAACCGTTGGTGTATGCTGTGTTTGTTAGATCGACAATCAGGACCTCGAAGTAAGTTGGATGAAGTCAGCCAGTAGTAAGCCTTGGACCTAGGTTTCGTGCTTTTTGGGACTCGTCAGCAGTGCCTGTCAATTCTAGATTCAGGACTTCCTACCGAACACCTCTATCCAACTAATATCTATCCTAGTGCATCGCGACGGGAAGTTTCTTACCTTAGCGGCTATATTGCAAAGTAGTCGGTGAAATTCCATCAGCACATAGGGTTGGATAGTATAAGGCTGTTTAACCTTCAGTGCCCAATCAAGCTATACAGGACATCCATGTGCTTATTCACTCCACCACACATGACCAATATGATAAATCTGAAGAATTTACATTGCGAGTGCTAAGCGACTCTATGGCTGATTCTCGTGAGAACACCGAGTGAGCATGAGGAGACGAAACACCTAAGTGTTCGTCTGAACCTGACAGCGACTGTTTTCCCGATGAAGCCTACAGTAATATTCAGTCTGCTGTATTAACAGCAATGAAGGGAAACTTGCCATATTTCTTGACCTGAAGGTGATATTCAGTTCTGTTAACCTCAGTCAATCAATATCAGCATAGGACCAGGCATTACTGCGTAACAGTCCGCGTTACCACAGCTCACATCAGTACATCAAGTAGAAAGGTAGTTAGGTGAAATGAGAAAACAGTGAGATTAGTTATAGAGTCGTTAAGATGAGGATAATGTATGTATACATCTGCGCCAGTGACATCGGTTCTCAGCCATATCATCTAGAGTCTCCAACCGCTGGTTCCCCTTGTCCCGCGGATCCCAACCGACCAGTCCGCATTATCCTACATGGCTCAAACTAACAGTCAAGGACTTCATACATTGGTGCCATGTTTTAGTTTGGCCACCTCGGGCCTTTTCCCAGCCTGGACCTACTTCGGCCGACATTGTATGATGAGGCAATCGGCGACTAGGCATATGTAATGCGTGTCCCAACCATCTCAGTCGATGAAGGTTTATAACCTTGTCAACAGACTTACCTCTACTCCCTAAGACTCTATACCTGACGTCTGCGTTACTCACGTGGTGACACCACGGAATACGGCTTATGCTACGAAGGCAACGGGGAACAGATACTTGAAGCCTTCCCATGTCTTCCACTTTCAATGGCCATGTTTCTCAGTCTACTTTTTAGTTGCCCTTGCTCTTCATTGTACTCAGAGCCTGCAGTGATGCGTTCACGTGCATCCATTAGTTCGGAAGAAGCTGCTGATATCCACTGGCTCTTTTTAGCCACTATTTTGGAGTCCGCTATGGTCTTCAGCTCTGCTTTTACAGCAGACTGAAGATGGCACCAAGCTTCTTCTGGATTAGTGACAGTCTTTTGTTCCGATAACTGTCTAGCCAACTTCTCACTGAACACGGATTAGGTGTCTTCGTTGTCCAGCAGCACTCGTAGTGGTTTTGTTGCCAAATTTTTCCTACGTCCATTGAGACGCAGGCATATACGCACTCGGACCAACGCATGGTCGCTATCCAAACACGTACTCCAGAAGGAGCGGCAGTCTTCCACCGATCCTCTCCACGATGACTAATAGCAATGTGGTCTATCTATGTCCATCGCTGAGTTGAGCCCGGTGGATGCCACGTCAGACAGTGTCATTCTTTATGTCTGGAATTTGTGCTAGCTAAAAATAGGCGGTATCTGAGCACAGTTGTAGTAAGCGATCACCGTTATCTGTATGTTCAGCCGGAACTCCGAAAGTGCCACCTAAGTGCCTTTCTACCTCACTCAGTCTACCCACTTGTGCATTGAAGTCGCCTGCAACCATGTCTGTTGACCTTAAGGTGTTGTGGTAGTGTCGAAGTTTGAAGGCAGTATCGAGTATAGGTATGTCATGCCAATCAGGACTTCATTAGAACTCACGTGGCTGTGTGACGTAAAATTATTCTCTTATATAACGACAACTAATGATGTACATCACAGATGTCCACTGTCATCATCCTTTCTCAACTTGTTATAGGTAGACTGATGGATATAACCTATTTTACCACCAACTTCGCAGCGATAGACTTGTTTTTGGGATCCGTCTGGTTGATTTTGAGTACACAAACCACAGAGTTTTGTTAGACAAAGACACTGACAAAACTCAAGGTCTTGTGAACAGCTTGACCGGAAATCTCATAATGTTTGGTATATATTGCACCCGTGCTTCACGATTGTTCTGCACTGAATCGTACTTTTAAGATAGATTACAGTGGAAGAACGCGTTGACAACACCTACTTGGGGAGTTGCATCTGTCCAAATAGGTCTGTTGTGACAAAATATTAGCTCGTATAGAAAAAGCTCATTCCACATTTTCCAACCTACTTCACCTTTGATACTGTTTAGATATTTAACCATCTATTGAAGAGTGAGTAAGCCACTCTGCGGTTCGTCCTGTGACAAGAGGTCCGAGTGAGTATGAGATATGAAGAGGTTACAGGTTTTCGAACATAGCTGTCTTCGGAGTACCGCTAGCATGTGATAGTTTCACTGCGTGGGCAATTTTGGAATACTGGGCAAGAAAGGTAAGTCAGTCGATGATGTTGTGAACCTTCAGCTGTTGAGATGGTTAAATTTTTTACGTATACTGAAGTGCCATTTACCTCGAAGTGGCATGCCAGCCGAAGGAGTAGTGGGGCATAAGAAGACTGAATGGGTAGACTAGGACATGTAAGCGGCCCATGAAGTCTTTTGCTATTGATCTCATTTACATAGGCTGTCAGTACGGGGTCTTAAAAATGACGAGCATAAATATTCGGAAACTCCTTGTGATCTGGTCTGATATTGGTCATAATTGCATAGGTGTATACTCTTTGTCATTTTTTAATTTTGTATATCTTCATTTACATCCATCTATTTTCTCTTCCGAATCTCATACGCTTTTATGTTCTTCCGTGTCATCGTCTTCCCATAAACCTCTCGCTTGCATGCTACTGTGTGTTTTGCAACTAAACCGACGCACTTTAGTAGCAGATTTCTCGTTGATTCGCCTGTGTTTGAAATCAGTTTTTTGAGTCATGGAGTTTCAGAATAGAACCTTCATCATAACTTGTTTAAGTAGTATTAAGGATATGAAAGGTCATTGTTTGTAAACCATAACTAATACTGATTGGGAACAAAATGTCTAGCTAAATTATTGTTTCATTTTTACAGGAGCAGGTTAGAAATATCCAGCAAGTACTATCAAGTTTGTGTATGAAGTTTCAATGGAAAGTGTTTGGAGTTTGACGCACGCTCTTTTCATGACGTGTAACTAACAGTAGTTGAGTCGGTTAGTCTTATTCAATGTTGCCTAAGAAACGTAGAGAGAGTGAGAGGAGGTTACTGTTTTTTAATGTGTGAGCACTGTATAGACAAAGACTTGACTTAAATAATACCTGTTTCGATATTTGCTTCATGCTATTCGTGATGTGTATGGTCTTCATCTTGTGTATAGCATCTTGTTGCTCTGAACACATTTCCGTATATGCTTGTGGTTTTTCTTAATCCCTTATTGCCTTCGTTCATATTTTTCTTCCCGCTGTTCTAGTCTTTGTCCTAAATCAGTTGGTCAAGCTGTAATTCATATGACATTAGTGGGTATCATTTGTTTTTTTAACGAAACAGCAAGTGGAAATAATTTATATCAAATACGTTATGTACTAACGCAATATATTTCGATCAGCTCATTCCATCTGGTCACACTTGTCGTGCATACTTTTATGAAATATGACAAGCATAAATGGGTTTAAAAAATAATCCGTTCAATAATAAAGGATCAAACCGCAATGATACTTGTAATCTCCTGTTGCTGTACAGGGCCGAATTGCTCGACCTTTGTTGGCAGATGGGCTCCTATGTGGTGGCTGTCGTGCCCCAGTGGGTTGGTGGTTAACTTTCTGGCGTTTGAAGCAAAGAGTAATGGGTCCGAACCTCAGTGGGAATAACATTCACTGGGGTGCAGACACGCCCAGCTGACGAGACCCAAATGGAACGAAACGCGCGTCCTGGATTCCTCTACTAGTCACCAAGATCAGTATAACGAAAGGATCAAAATGTTAATACGCGGGTTAAATTATTGATGGGAAGAGGAAAGCAATATATAAATCACCGTTGATCTTAAGGCTAAATAATCACCAACAAATGTTTGATTTTGTGGCAGTTATTATTAGCTGAAAGTGTATTTTTGAGTAATCAATTGTTGTCTAACACTACTTTGAGGAACTTGTTTTTGAAAATAACCTGTATTTTGAAAGGGTATAATACTTAAGTGTTTGAACAGGTTTAACTAGAAACTTTATCCCTTATTGTATTGTACTTCTATTATCCCTTAGTAAGATCTTCCATCCTTCTCATGAAATTAAGTCTGTTTTGGTAAAGCTACCTGAATATTTCATAAGAAATCAAATGGAAACACAGCTATAGATTTACTGTCGTCGTATTGTATCATGTACTACTGTGTTTTCTTTGTGTGACTTTTTACATTTTTTTGTATAATTTTCTAACTTTTATCTACTTCATTGCTTTCTGTCTTCACTTTATGCTAATAGGCTGTTACATTGCCCATGCTTTTACAACATGAAGGTCATAGCCGCATAGTGATTGGTGTTGAGGTAAGCAGTCATTACTGAATGCCTTATTTATCTCATTTATATGGTGAAACAATCGTGTAAAATCTTTATAATATGTATATTGTAGATAGAAAACGAATGTATGAGAAGTGTTGGTACGTTAAATTTTGAAGCATATATTCTTCAACGAACAAAGGGTGGAAAAAGTTGTCAACTTCTGCGAAATAGTTTCTACGGCTGAAGAATGTGGTTTATAAGAGAACCAGTTGGTCATAGTTGTAACTTACAGTGATCTGTTTTGAAAATCTATTCAGTCATATTATTACATAAAGCTATGCAGATTTGTGTATCTGTGCCTGTTAATGTGTTTCATATTGGCTAAAGTATATTTTCCTCAAGTTCAGCTTTGTTCTGTGTCTGTGGGTCGATTAGCAGTAATGTACTATATTTATTTCTTTTTAGTTTCTTATTGAAACATTCTTTGTAAGAAATTATTGCTGTATGAATCTGATCCACTCTTTTCTTTCTAATCATGTATGGTATACCTTTTGCGCCCGCCTATTATTTAAAATAGAAAATTACCCATTCTCTTAGAATGAAATGCAGTTGCAACCAACAAACGTGAACGATTGGAAAACTTACACACAGATGGCTCTTGCTAATCTAACCACATTTGTATTGTCTCAGGTGAAACTGTCGAGATACATCGTCCATCCTCAAGCCAACGAGATCGCTGTCTGTCGTTTGGATAACCTCAATAACTTTTATGTGACAGATTTCTTCCTATCCCTGTCAATCATTATAGGCTCTATGCTCATTTTTCTCCATGTCCTGAATTTGTCAAACAAATCGGGTCTACCCAAGCCGTTGTCAATACGTTTCATGCGATTTATAAATTGGTATTGCCAGCTGACTTAACATATCTACATGATTTCAGATGAACAAAATAACGAATTTGTGTTATGGTTTTACTGAAACTTACTAAGTAGTGTTTTGTGTACTGCGTGGTAGAGCTAAATACATATATATATATATATATATATATATATATATATATATATATATATATATATATATATTCTTTGTCCGATAAACATCAAACAGATCACTTTTTGTAGAAACCTCGATTGACTTTCGTTATAGTTTCCCGCCTAGTTGTCGCCTAGTCACTTGAAACTTAGCATCTTGTAAAAAATGTCGCGTTGGTACTCAGATTAAATCAGTCCATTAGCTACCATGAATACGAAGTAAGTGAAAACTGATTACTACAGCGTTTACTGTGATATTCGTTCATTTTAAATGTCGCAGGAAATTTACCAGTAGTATCGAGATTTCAAATTATTTCTATACTACTTCGTGAGTTTAATTTATCAGCTGAATACCTCTGTGCTTTAAATTGCTTTGTAGTTGCAAATTTTAAACGAATTGCTCATGCAATATGATTCGTGTATCTCTTCACTTCTTCTAGGTGGATGAGGATGAAAAACCGATAGCACTGGTAGTTTTAGATCCTGATGTACCACCTGAGGCTATGCGTCAAGTTATCAAGGCTGCCGATTATTCTGTATCTAATCCCAATGCAGATCTGTCACGTCTTTCCTTTGGTCCTTATCATTGGATGGATGTTTTAGGAAGTATGCGCGTGGATATAACCCAGCTGGTTCAACCACAATATCAAGTGCTTCAAATTAATGGATTGATAGAAACAGATATAGACTTACAGGTATGATTAGATCAATTACTTTCTTTATACTTTGTGTTATTATTACGTAGCAACCTGAACAACCTGTAACACTGATGGAACAAAGTTGGTCTTTGAATAATCGTATATTTCTGAAGATTATCGGGATGCGAATCTCCTTGAAATCAAGGTTGTAGTATAAATCATTCGTCATTTTCTTTCCGCAGCCACCTCTTTATTTGGTCATATGATTATTATGTTTATTGGTAAACCTATCCACAAGCGTATAAGTACTTCTTGGCTAATGCTCTTAGAATAGTTCAGTTACGACTAAGAAGTAGCTATAATTTGAGTATACCCTTCCAGAGAACATGAAATTCTTAACTGCTGTAGTGGTTCATTACTGTAGTCAGAATCTTGGGGAATTCAGTTACCGCTAGAAGTATTTTAAGTATCCACTTGTACTTTCTGTTGACTTCAAATCAAACGATACAGGTGATGATGTTCACTGCAGGTTTTCGAACCTTCATCAAATAGATAATGATGCCATATAACAGTAATCATTAAATCCCTTTCAGTGTAGTTTGCAAATTCCTCGCACGAGTTTCCTTCATGCTGATAGACCTTCCGTCTACCCTTAACGTCAGTTGGTTGGAGGCAATCGACACAACGCCCTAGGTTTCGTGCTTGTCGGCACTCATCAGCAGAGCGCATCTGGAACCCCGACGGAACTTATGTCCTGCCTGAGACTCGAACCCAGGCCGTCCAGTGTTGTAGCCAGCGACGTTACCACTGAGCTATTCGGCCCGCGACTGATTGCTTGTAGGACTAGACAACATGAAACTGGTCACCATCCAGCAACCAATCAATACACCCTTATGGCGCTCACTTCTGAGTTCATTTGCACTTACAATTTAAAAGAGACATTACTGAAAACACCTCTTCTAGATTAATAATAATTCAGTTCGCTTTCAGTTAAGAATTATGTAACACCTAGAAACAGTATATCAGCACTTCCAATCTGTTGTGCGTGGTTCATAGTCTGCCAATAGATACACCGTTTTCAGTTAGTCCTGATAGCATGCACAGAGTTATTACGCATCAATAGATGCATTTCAGTCAACTGTAAACGTGATGAGAAGAGTATCTATTTCCGAACTTGTTGACTGAAGACAGATGTCTGAAGATATTTCACAAAAAATAGCATGCAAAGGAGAATGAACAAGGAGACTTTCGACTTATGAAAGAAGGCTGCTTGTCTACTGGTTTCAAGCCCGACTGATAGCTGCTACCTTGACGTGGTGGTCTGGCTTGCATACGACAATGACCCAACGAGCTACGCTGGTGGAACACTTGTTCCCTCGAGGTCCTACCATACCAGGAAGGTCTGTTGGATAGTGGTTAGACGAAAAGCAGTTACCGTTGTGGTGTAAATTACTACACTATGATGGGGGTCTGAGGGCGAAATTCGTACTGCTGCTAGCTGGATGGGGTGTGACAGCATTAAGGTGTTTCCCTTGGATGACCAGCAGTGCCATGTTGATGCTGCCTTCTCAGTGGAAGGGGGAGTTAGAAAAGGTCGGCCCCCAAAATAACATACTCCGAAATACCCCATGGTCCACCAGGCCGGCAGTGTTGGTTCATTTGTCATTTCTTTCCGACCATCCGGCCCCAAAACAACAAAAGTTCAAAATAATCATACACAAAAGGCTGCGTATGACAGGCCTCAAACAGATGTCTCATGGGCTCTGCGGTCACACAAATCTCTTTCAGGCACCTTAAGAAGAAATAGCCTTCCACGGCGTGGGCAGCCAGGAAGTGTCAACAACCCTCTCAACTCTATCAGCACTCAAGTTTCTTCAGACTGCTATCCACCTCCCCCATCATTACCTTCTAATATTCCTTCATGTCTCTCAACTAACGATTCTGCATCATCTTCAATTTCTCCTAGCTCTGTAGCTTTTGCCAACGATCTGAGTCCACAAAACAGCATACTTGGTCTCCTTAAACCACATTCCAAATTACATATTGGAGCCTTCAATGTCCGCACCCTCCGTCAAATCGGTCAACGGGCTTCGTTGACAAAGACTCTAGCAACTCGGGCCATGGATGTGTGCTGTGTTTGTGAGACACGCATGCAGGACTCAAGTGCGGTTCATTCACCTGACCTATCCCGGCCAATCTGGTGAGTCCGCGAAATTCATCCTTTGAGTTTCTAGAGATTCGTTAGCTAGCTCTCGTGGTCTTGCAGGTGTGGGCATAGCATTAAACACTAGGGCACAAAACTCACTACTAAACTGGATCCCAGTTGATAGTCACCTCTGCGCTATCCGACTGAACGGCACAGTGAGAACTAAAAGGAATAGGGAGACTCGCCGTTGTCTCTTTGTAATCTCTGCTTACGCACCCACTAAATGCAGCGCGGATGAAGTGAAGGACGAGTTCTACCGAAAACTGTCTAGCCTCCTTTCGAAAGCCAAACGTTGAGACGTGGTGGTTGTTTCAGGTGACTTCAATGCACAAGTGGGTAGACTGAGTGAGGTAGAAAGGCACTTAGGTGGCACTTTCGGAGTTCCGGCTGAACATACAGATAACGGTGATCGCTTACTACAACTGTGCTCAGATAACCGCCTATTTTTAGCTAGCACAAATTCCAGACATAAAGAATGACACTGTCTGACGTGGCATCCACCGGGCTCAACTCAGCGATGGACATAGATAGACCACATTGCTATTAGTCATCGGTGGAGAGGATCGGTGGAAGACTGCCGCTCCTTCTGGAGTACGTGTTTGGATAGCGACCATGCGTTGGTCCGAGTGCGTATATGCCTGCGTCTCAATGGACGTAGGAAAAATTTGGCAACAAAACCACTACGAGTGCTGCTGGACAACGAAGACACCTAATCCGTGTTCAGTGAGAAGTTGGCTAGACAGTTATCGGAACAAAAGACTGTCACTAATCCAGAAGAAGCTTGGTGCCATCTTCAGTCTGCTGTAAAAGCAGAGCTGAAGACCATAGCGGACTCCAAAATAGTGGCTAAAAAGAGCCAGTGGATATCAGCAGCTTCTTCCGAACTAATGGATGCACGTGAACGCATCACTGCAGGCTCTGAGTACAATGAAGAGCAAGGGCAACTAAAAAGCAGACCGAGAAAAAGTCTACGCAAAGACCGCGAACAGTGGTGGGCAACGAAGGCCAAAGAGGCCAAAAAGGCAGCGGCGATCGGTAATACTAGACAGTTATTTAGACTTATTAGGAAAACTGGGGGAAAAGGTCAAAAACAGTTAGTAAGGCTGTAGCGCAAAAGGACGGATCTGCAATTCACTTGCAGGGGAGACGACTGGAACGATGAGCAGAACACTTCGAGGAGCAGTTTAACTGGCCTCCAACCACAATTACGTTACCCGCTATTCAGTCGGATCCTCAATGGAACATTGAGATACGCCACCCAACACTAACAGAAGTCGAAAAAGTGGTAGAAACCTGAAACGAGGAAGGGCAGCATGACCAGACGGACTAACTCCAGAGGTATACAAGGATGGTGGTAAGGTGCTCTTAGTCAAGTTAACGGAAGTGTTAACCAGTATATGGAAGTCAAATACGATCCGCTCTGACTGATGTGAATCACCGATTATCCCAGTCTTTAAGAAAGGCGAGAAGTCCTCTTGTGATAACCACAGAGGAATCAGCCTGATGAACATAGTGTCCAATATCCTAACTTCTATAATTCTCCGACGCCTGAGTGGAGCTCGGGAACAACAAGCCCGAGAAAATCAGGCAGGCAGGCTTTAGACCCGTCCCCGGGTGTATCAACCAAATATTCACACTGCGCTAGGTACTGCAGTATTAGTTCTTCCTTACCTGCTCCATTTTTAATGAATCTCACCATTTTAATCGTACGGACGCTTATTATATTAGTTATATGCGTTTTGGTTAGCGCTAGTGATGATGTATATGATTTCGTCACCAGATGCGTAATCTAATATTTTTTGGGGAAGATTGTAAGGAACTCATGTTAGTGAGTCTCAGTTAAATAACGAAGGGAAAATCATTGAATTGAGAGGTAGATCGTATGAAGGTGGACCCTAGAGCGTCTGGTGACAAAGTCGCATCTAGGAACCTTTGGAGTTTGTTTGTTTTTATTTCACCACACATGACCAATATGATAAATCTGAAGAATTTACATTGCGAGTGCTTAGCGACTCTATGGCTGTCTCTCGTGAGAACACCGAGTGAGCATGAGGAGACGAAACACCTAAGTGTTCGTCTGAACCTGACAGCGACTGTTTTCCCGATGAAGCCTACAGTAATATTCAGTCTGCTGTATTAACAGCAATGAAGGGAAACTTGCCATATTTCTTGACCTGAAGGTGATATTCAGTTCTGTTAACCTCAGTCAATCAATATCAGCATAGGACCAGGCATTACTGCGTAACAGTCCGCGTTACCACAGCTCACATCAGTACATCAAGTAGAAAGGTAGTTAGGTGAAATGAGAAAACGGTGAGATTAGTTATAGAGTCGTTAAGATGAGGATAATGTATGTATACATCTGCGCCAGTGACATCGGTTCTCAGCCATATCATCTAGAGTCTCCAACCGCTGGTTCCTCTTGTCCCGCGGATCCCAACCGACCAGTCCGCATTATCCTACATGGCTCAAACTAACAGTCAAGGACTTCATACATTGGTGCCATGTTTTAGTTTGGCCACCTCGGGCCTTTTCCCAGCCTGGACCTACTTCGGCCGACATTGTATGATGAGGCAATCGGCGACTAGGCATATGTAATGCGTGTCCCAACCATCTCAGTCGATGAAGGTTTATAACCTTGTCAACAGACTTACCTCTACTCCCTAAGACTCTATACCTGACGTCTGCGTTACTCACGTGGTGACACCACGGAATACGGCTTATGCTACGAAGGCAACGGGGAACAGATACTTGAAGCCTTCCCATGTCTTCCACTTTCAATGGCCATGTTTCGCAGCGTTGCAGTAGAACACAGGGTGTACTGCCGTGCAGTACACGCAACCCTTAATACACAATAGGATATCACGGCGGCGCCATAGGTGGCGTAAGTTGGCAAAAGCTAGTCAAGCCTTTTGTATCCGTGCAGAGATTTCATCGGCAACTGACCCACCAGGGCAGGGCTGATCCTACTTGCCAGGTAAGTGAAGTAGTCGACGCACTCAACCACTACACTCTCTATTGTTATCCGAGGCACCGTTGAAGACCAATCCTGGAGCAACAATTTGCATTTAGGTGACGAGAAGCGCATCCCAAACATTCTCAAATTGCCACTCAAAGTGTTCAGAAGACTCTGCATTTTGTCAGCGTCTTCACCTAACAGGACTATGTCATCTGCATATTCTAGGTCTAATGAAAATTCTCCTGCGATTAGATTAGGTCAACGTTTGTGGAGTCGGGTGACGAGAGGGAGACCTCCATGAGAATATCTGTGATGAAATTGAATAAGAATGGAGAGAGTGGGGACTCTTGACGGACACCACTCGATGAGCATAGCTCCCTGGACAACTCACCATAGGCTCTAACACGCCCACAGGTGTTCGAGTAGAGAGCCTTCAATAAGGTGATATACTTACTCGTCACGCCTTTCAGTGAGAGGCATTGCCACAAGACTTCTCGATCAACGGAGTCAAATGCGGCCGCCTTCAGGTCGAGAAATACTGCTATTGTCGGGCGTCTGTAAGCGTGTGTATGTTCCAGTACCTAGTGCAGTGTGAATATTTGGTTGATACACCCGGGGACGGGTCTAAAGCCTGCCTGCCTGATTTTCTCGGGCTTGTTGTTCCCGAGCTCCACTCAGGCGTCGGAGAATTATAGAAGTTAGGATATTGGACACTATGTTCATCAGGCTGATTCCTCTGTGGTTATCACAAGAGGACTTCTCGCCTTTCTTAAAGACTGGGATAATCGGTGATTCACATCAGTCAGAGCGGATCGTATTTGACTTCCATATACTGGTTAACACTTCCGTTAACTTGACTAAGAGCACCTTACCACCATCCTTGTATACCTCTGGAGTTAGTCCGTCTGGTCATGCTGCCCTTCCTCGTTTCAGGTTTTCCTACCACTTTTTCGACTTCTGTTAGTGTTGGGTGGCGTATCTCAATGTTCCATTGAGGATCCGACTGAATAGCGGACAACGTAATTGTTGTGTGTTCCGTATGAAACTCTTCTTAAATAACATGCTGCCATTCGAAATGTTGTGTTGTGGTTCGATGTTCTCTATTCAATTTCATTGCTTGCTCTAGCTTATGTTCGCTGTTTGCGATGAAATTTTGTAATTCTCGGTTTCACTATTTATTTTAACTCTAACTGATAATTTTCTAAGTGTTTTTGATGCATAATTGAGAGGTAGAATTTTTCGCTTTCCATGTTTCTGTATCCGATCGGTACTCATTCAGTTGTGGTGTGGGATTTTTATTTTAAAGGTTAACTTTTCAGGAACGGGCGAAAATGTGTTTATTTAGTTTGCCATTTCCGATGGACAGCGGATGTAGCTACTTTATTTTGTTTGTCTGTTTTTTACACGTTATATCTGAGATTGTAGTTCTTTAAATACGTAACTAGCTACTTATGACTTGTTTCCTTGAGAGTGCAGACGACATATTTATATCCTATGTATTAATTCCTGTATATGTTTGTTTCACTACAAACAAATGTGATTTCTTTTCACAGGGCGCCATGGTTCCGGAAAATGTTACAGTAGCGATCTCATAAACAACAGATAAACCAACTGGACGGTTTTACCTCGTACCAACTCACCCACTCCCTATCTATTTATTTTATTCTTTAGACATTTTACGCGTAATTTCTATCTCCTGTGTTTCGCATCATACCACCTTCAGCCACACAGATCTCTTGTGTGGGGCTACCTTCTGTCTATTTTTATAGATATATGCATTCTTATCATTAGTTTTATTTTGACATTTTTTCATGTGCATACGACTGTTCCGCACATTTTAAAACTTATCTTTATTAATATTTCCTGTGTTTTAATTGTACTCACATTTTTGTCTCTTTGAAAATACATCACTGGTAAGTCTTCGTATGATAAATCTATTGTATTTTTTAAAATTTTTCGAACTTTCACGTTCTATCCCTCTTTATTTGTGAGCTACTTTGGGAATGAAGAATTGAAGCAGTATATTTTCTCTGCTTATGTCATAGGCAGTCTTTTCTGTGTTCCGAGCTAATATAAGTTAACAACAACCTTTGTTTGTTTCTTTTCCACGCTGTTTGTGTGGTACAGATGTTGTTTAAAATAGTTCTACCTAGTTTTTGTTGACTGAGATTTATTCGATGCAGATCTGTCTAGTAAATTTAATTCATCATGCGAGAGAGGGTTGCAGTCAGCATGTTTTACAAAGTGCTTGTGATGTCGTAATTTCTATCATTTCAAGTGGTTGTCAGTTTCTGTAATCTACTGTCTTACCTGTGGATATATATATATATATATATCCACTGCCTAATCTTGTAATATCAGATTGAAGCCAGTGACAAACGCCTTCTAGAATCACTCATAGGGAATGAACCCCTTATTGTTGTGTTGACTAGTGGAAAAATGTGGCATGCTGGTTAGCGAATTTCTTTTGCGCGTTTATAATGCTGTTAGTTTCATTGTCAGAGTTTTAGTTGCTGACCATCGGTAGTAGTTTCAGTAGATTAACGACGGTGACTAGTAGGGTTGATGTTGAATACTTTTAGTTCGCACTGGGAGTTTGTTTTGAAACTCAGTTACTTTAAATAATAATCCTATTGTTTTATATTGATTCTGAGTTTTCTGAGAACACCAGAACGATGACAGCGTTGAAACATGTCTGGGGTTTTTAAATATTCTGGAGCACACCTTCATGATTCTCTAGCTAGTTACTAGGTAGATTGTGAAGTACAGAGTAATTTCTTTATACATGGGACAAAAGTAAGCGTTCAGGCTATCAAGTCAATAAATGGAATGAATGTGAAGCCTGACTTGCTTTTGTCCTAGCTTGATGACTTATTGACTTATTTCGGATAAAAATGTTTGCTGGACTTCGTATGTGTATCACTTGAACGAAACTATTCAATTGTACTTTTTGCAGGGAAGACGGTGGTTATTTTGCAGTTAGCTAGTGGGATTTTATTGAAGTGGTACATTTACTAGGTGCTTGTATTGGAGTTTATGCCAACAGAGTCAGCATCTTCTAACTTACCTAAGCATTCAGCAACATGCTTATACATGACGACTGTGCAATATCAAAAACTGAAGATAAAACAGTGAATGATTTCCAGTTCATATGTTAATGCGTTCTTCACGAAAAACTTGTCGTGAATATGCTCCACTGCAAAGATGTATGATATTTAGATCATCGAATAAATCAGCTTCTGTATTGAATCTTTAGGTGAATAATAAGAACTTAAACTTCTCAATGTCTGTTTGTTACTCTGTTACTACTTTTCAATATATGGAGCGCTATATGAACTTAAGGGAAACTGTAAAGATGTTTACGCTGCCAATTTCTTCTAGAACGCTACTCGAGAACAAGAGTAGAAAAGATTATCTCAATTTGAAAATGCATTAATAGGATGCAGAAGTGACAAAGGAAGCGACTGGAATCGCTAAAATTATCACTTTATTTGAAATACTACAACAACATTCGGATATCAGGAAATTACTTTTAAATGCTGCTATTTTATAGTTGGTGCTGTTCGTGCAAATAATGTCCCTATTCGGCTTCGCATATGAGTTATCTCACGTTCTCTTTCTGATTCTTTTCTGCACTGCATCCATCAGTTAGCTGCCAACTCTTATCATTTACCTTGATTAGACCGCGCCGTTTGCGTCTTATAAGAAACAAATGTCATTCCAATTTGTGCTCATTACCAAATCCCGCGTTTAACAACTGCCCACAAGGAAGTCCCCATCAAACTTATAATGTATTCTGGAGAAGGAAGGATGTAAACGATTAAGTCGAATCCCAGTGTCTTTTGCGAATAAAGAACATTTACAAATAAAACGTAAATCATCATCATGAACACTGTTCTATTTTACTTAAAATTAATATGGGTTGATGGTTTGCTCATCCGTACTGACGTTACCTTCCGTTATCGAAGGGAATTCAACCCTCAAAATAGAAGTTTCTTCCGTTTCGTAGAGTCCACTTGTGCAAATGGTATAGGTATGCATAACGTGAATTAACATTGCCAAAGTTATGACTTAAAGTGGCGATATGATAGCGTGTTTCTAGTTTGGGATAGATGTCACTTGGGCTCGGTGTCCACGCATCCTGATTGTTGAGATCACTCTTATTAATCGTCATTCTCTTTCAGGTACTCTGAGAAGAGACCTTGAAGACTGTTCTTGATGCAGGAGACGTTTGGTTGAAATATTCCATGCTGAAAATTCTATACTGACTAATACATGTTTAATATAAAGGGATATTATCATCATTAGATTTGGGTGAAGAGCAGTGATGTCAAAACTAACCATTTTTTTCACTATTATCGATTCGTATATCATCCAATGGTTAATTTGACGTAACTGGCCTTTACACGAATACACCGATCGACATCGATCTAGCTGCAGTTAGAAATTACTTCAGGGATGACAGTGGAATGGCACATCGAACCAAGGTGCTGATGGAGGGAATCATGTTAGGAGTACGATCATACCTGACATATAAAGGTTTTAAAATAAATTACGTAAAAAACTGAAGGGATTGCCATGAGATCACCAATATCTTCTATCGGCGCAGACATTTATGGTTAGTTTGGAACGGATGGCACTTCAAACATTGATTCCTACTCCAAAGATATAGTTCTCATGTGTAGATGACACATTTACAGTACTGAAATCAGAACACTTCAATAGGTTCTTGACACATAAAGTCAGTAGTGAATGCAATCCAACTTACTTGTGACTTAAAAACTGATGGAGGTGACCTAGTGATGTTGGGTTGCAAAAGTAAAGGAAAGCAAGATGAAAGTTGAAAGACTAATGTGTATAGGAAACCTCCCTATTTAAATCACTACTTGGACTTCAAATCATCTCAGTTTATGTAGGCTTAGTTAAATGCCCAAGTAATGCGGCAAGGAAGCTTACTAGTGGGTCAGAAAAACTGTGACAAGAAATTAGACATCAAGAATACCTTGTGCCTCAACAATTACGCACCTAAACTTTTAAGTAAATTCATAAGAAATTGAAAAAAAAATATTAGCAGTGGTAACTCAGATGCTATTACCAATAGTTCTCCTACTAATAGTAATAACAGTGACAAGGTTGAGAGAGAATTCAAAACCTATGCTGAGTTACCGCACAAGGAAGGCACCTCAAGCATTACAAAGAATTCTCAATAAGGCTGGGATTAAGATGTCTTTTATACCAAAAAACTCGCTTAGAAAAGAGCTTTATGGGTTAAAATATCCTGTCGATGCAGTTCGGGAAAGTAATCTGGTTTACCAAATCCCTTGCAATGACTGCGAGGTCAAAGTAGTTGACCAGGGTCAGTTAGAACAAAAGAGCACAAAATCTTAGCTAAATCAAGATCCGCAGATATGAAAAAGATATAAAACTTAGAAAAAATCTTGGCTAAAGATCTATGCACAATTACACACTTGGTGGAATAGAGTGACAGTATTAAAAACCAACTCAGTTGGGTGGAGGGAGAGATTGATGATCGAATCCAGACCGAATGCATGCGGTAGGAATGATTCTGCACCTGTCCGAGTTATATGGAAAATCCTACAACCCTCATCACAATGAAGGAGAGAAAATTAAGATTATGTAAACTATATTTAAGTTGCGGAGTTACCTGATATGAATACGCACAATAAATTATTTCCGAAAAATTGTCCACTAAGTAATACTGTGAAATTTCTTACAAACAGAATGAAATGAATTTTAATCTAACACGTAACCAAAGTTCTACTCATACCCAATTTATTTCCTTTCTTTTTATGACTTTCTAGAACACTGTTGCAAATTTTAGGCATTTGTCTTTCAATTTGTTCCGTTTCATTGTATTGATATGAGGTGTGTTCCGTGGTTAGTACTGAGCCGCTATATCAAAATGGACTTTCCGACTGTTCTGTGTTTTGAGTCAGAATTCTAGTGTGATTTCACCACGGACATCCAATAGGCCTATTATCGTGTTTGGATGTTCCCAGAGAAGTGAGACGACGAAGTTTCGTTGCTACGAGCGGATTGGTGTACATGGAGAGTACATCTAAGGTATTTAAAAAACCCTGATTCCAAACCAATGGTGGACATACATCCTAGCATTCCGTACTAAGTAATGGTATGTGAGGCTATTTCGTTTACCTTTGACCATTGGGATGCAGCGCTTCACGTTACGCCTCTGCCTCGTAGATTAGTGGTCAAGTCAGACGGTCAGCGTATCGTCTGTAATAATACCCACCTGCTTTGAACCAAGCGTACATGTAGTAGAAGTAGTAGTATCACATTCCAGTCCACTTACAATTTTTGAATTGACATTAGGAGTGAGAACTGCTAAACGCTCATCAGATTTTCCATCACGAAACAAAACTCACTGTGTAACGAACTTCTTGATGTGTCATTTCATTCTGCATTGCCCTAAGTTGCTGAACAGTTATTTTGAGAAAGCTGTGCTTCAGTTAGATATCTGACAAAACCATCCGGAAACTGCACACACCTTCAACGTTTGCAGCTTGATATAGATCAGATATGAGACATATTTGATGAAAACTTTGAAAAGCCTCTC